TAAGTTTTGAAAGATCCTACATTTCCAGTGAACAGTGTGCTTTTGTGAAAAGGTTTCTGAAAAGCATTATTCAGGCGAAAATGCATCAAAGGGATGGAAGTTAAAGAGAGAAAAGTTTGCCAATGTGAAGATTGGAGGGAAGCATGTGCTGACAGGTGCAATTATAGCCAAATAATTGAATCTTTTAAGAGCAGTCTGGTGAGATAAGGCAATGGTGTGGACTCACACGGGAAACCTGTTCGTAATTAGATACCCAGGAGCCAGTGTGTGGATCATGAACTATTTTACATGTGAACACAGTAGCTGTTGCACTTCATAAAATAGGGTGCAATAGCGTGATTTCAGCCCAACAGAACTTAAATGGATACAAAGGTTGGAGAGGAAGCTCAGCCGTCTTTCTCAGACTCCCCATAGCCTGGAACCTCTTTTAGCCCCAAATAATGGTAAACAACCTGCTTCTAAGTCCCTTGGACTCAAAGCAACTAAAGAAAATGTCAACTTTCAAAGTAAACAAATTGCTTTTATTAGTAATGTTAGAAATCTTTGTTGTTTGAAGCACTTTATAACTGTCCACAATAATCATTATTTTAGTTTCTGCTTATCTTGTTTACCTATACTATGAACTAAAGTTCACCATGTAGGGTAAATGAATTGGTCAGGCATTTGCGCCACTAGCCTCTGTGGCTATCAGCTGTGGCTTTGGTCATGTTGATGCAGGAGGCACTTGGGAGTGTGGGCACGGGTCACACATGCCTGATTGTGGACACCTGGAGCATGGGTGCTCACACATGCATAATTTTGCACACCTGAGCCTAGAGGCCAGGGATATAAGGGCGGCATCACTCAGGCAGCTGTAGGAAGACTGCTATGAGTGGATGAGTGACTACGAAGAGGCAAGACCAGAGAGACAATGCCAGAGAGCCCAGGGAAAGAGCGTAAAGACTTGTGGGGGGTTTGGAGGCTGGGGTTCCTGCGAACCTCACAGCCCCAGGCCTCCTGCCTTGCCAGCCTGCGGGCTTGCCCCTACACACTATCACTAGTACTTCCCCAGAGTTTGACATCTCGTCAAATTTGGAATTAAGTGCTCCCATGGCAGGCTAAATTGGGGTTTACATGTTACCGTGGTAGTCCACTTGATCCTCATTCTGGCTCTGGCACATACTGCATGACCTTTTAAAATACTGACCAAATGAGTGAGTGAGTCACAGGTCCCCTCTGGCATACACATGTGTAGGGTAAGGTAAATGTTTGTCAGGCTTTTCTGCCCTCCCGCCATTAGGATTGATGATGGAACCCTGTGGTTCTGAATGCATGCCTGATGGCAGCACCTGGGGTAAGGTGTGGGTATACGTAGGTGGGTTCACCTGGGCTGAGACAGGATTTATAAGGGCAGCGCCATGGGGACGCCAGTGGAGGAACAGCAGAGTAAAAGAGAAGCCAGAGTAGCAGAATAGAGAGAACAAGGCTACGAGAGAAGGCCGGAAAGCCTAGAAAAGAGTCAAGATTCGCTGGGGGCAAGGAGGCCTGCCAGCCTCCCAACCCCCCGGCACCCCTGCCTGCTGCGTACCCTGTAAATGCAATAAATGCCTGCAAAAGCTACTGAGGGCTCCAGGACTCCTCCTTCACCTGTCTGCTAGAATCATACAGAACCTGCTCCTTGTCCATCCTACCACTACAACATGGTAGGCCTGTAACTGAATCAGATGCCTAGTGAAATTTTTATCACCACTTTTTGATATAATTCTAGGGGGTTTAAACTTGGGCAGCTCAAAATCCCTCATTCAGCTTTAGGTAGTAAGCACTATGTCCGCTTGAACTCTGCTGGCAGAATGCCTGACATCATCAGTTATGATTAGGTTGCCACCTTAGTTGTTTCTTATCACCTAGAGACCTTTCAAAAAAAATACAAATGCTCAGGTCATCTCAAAGAATCTGATTAGATTGGTTTTTAGAAGGGCCCAACCACTGTTTTTATTATTATTTTTTCTTTAAGACTCCTCAGGTCATTTGGAAGATTGAGGATTAGTGTCAGGAAAAGGGATGTAAGGCATAGTCATAGTATTTTAAACTGTGCCCACCCACTTGGTTAAAATCTGTTTCTGCTTGGGCCTCCCCAGTGATGCAGGGGTTAAAGACACAGGGCTATCAAGCTAGCGCCAGTCACTGCAACACGAGTTCGATCCCCGGCCAGGGAGCCGACTATAGGGTAAGATAAAGTAACAAGCTTTTCTGCCCTCCCGCCATCAGGATAGATGATGGACCCTGCGGTCCTGAATGCATGCCTGATGGCAACACCTGGAGTAGGGTGTGGGCCTATGTAGATGGATGCACCTGGGCTGAGACTGGGCATATAAGGGCAGCATCACGGGAACGCCAGCAGAACAGAGCAAGAGACCAGACCAGCAGAAGAAGGGAACAGCAGAGTGAAAGAGTGAAAGGGGCAGAGAAGCAGAGGGCACAAGAGAATGCCGGAGAGCCCAGAGAGAGTGAAGATTTGCTGGAGGCTGGGAGGCCTGTGTTCCCCCATCACCCCTGCCTGCCATGTACCTGGTAAATCCCAATAAAAGCCTGCAAAAGCCACTGAGGGCTCCAGGACTCCTCTCCTTTACCCCTCTGCCCGGATCATAGAAAACCTGCTCTGTGGCCTTCCTGCAGCTACACCGACCCACATGGCGCAGCAGACCTCTCCTGTCTTGCCCGCTCAGCAGTGTATTTCAGTACATCTGCCTGTTCTGCCCCTCACTCTGTCTCTGGGGAATCCTCTCATCCCCCCACCCCATACCTCTGGCCTGTACCCCAGTTCTTGTATGCATAAAGAAATCTTTAAAAAATCTGTCCCTACAATGAAGGCGTGCCTCCTTCACTGCATCTTTTCATTTACTCTACACTTGCAAGTTAAAACAACAGAGTAACTTTGAGCAAAGGAATTTGATTCTAAATCTTGTTTCTGTGTCTTATTAATAGTGTGATCCTGGGGAAAAATGCTTAAATTTACTGAATTTTTGTTCCCCCATTTGTAAAGTGGGAATTAAAAGACTTCTTTAAAGATTAAATTGTTAGGGTGATAAAAACTATTTAGTACAGTTCCCTGCATGAAATGGGTGCTCAATGTTAGTCTTTTAAAAAAAGACTTATTTATGCATACAAGAACTGGAGTACAGGCCAGAGGGGTGTGTGTGGGTGTGGGTGGTATGTGGGAAGGTTTTGAGCGGATTCACCAGAGACAGAGTGAGAAACAGAACAGGCAGACTGACTGAAATGCACTGCTGAGGGGAGCAGCGGGTGAGGCAGGAGAGGTCTGCTGCGCCATGTAGGTAGCTCCCTGGCCGGGATCAAACTTGTGCTGCAGTGGCTGCAGATAGCTTCGTAGGTTGTGTCTTAACCCTTTGCGCCACCAGGGAGGCTTTCTTTTCCTCTCCTCCTAGCTTTAATTTCTTCATATGAAAAATTAGGGGCTTGAATAACATTTAAATTCCCTGTATTCACTAAAATTGGTGAATCTATTCTCAGTCTTAAATACTGTGAGTAGAGAATAACCAACAAACATATTCTTTTCCAGAAATTCAGTTTATATTCAAAAAACAAGCTATTGGCACAGTTTATAGGGAATGAATTTGTAGTTTCTTTTACCAATACTATTGTGTCCACATAGTCTCAGCTGACTGTTCTTTCAACCTGATATGTCTGTGAAATGGCTGGTCAAGACTTGGAATGTGGTTTTAGCTGTGAGAATAAGATTTTTGATTGAGTAATACCATCTGTTTTATGTGGCCATCAATCTTGTGCCCTTGACCATCCACTTGTTTCAACCACATGGCTACCCACCCTCTTCTATACTTTTAATTATGGTGGTAACACCTGGCATTTATATTCTAGCACCTATTTGAAGTGATACACTTCAGAGGATCCCAGGTGAAATCAGGAAACATCTTTTAATTACTACTTAGCTAATTAGTTTTTGTCAAGAAAATAAAATATTGCTTCCTCTTGATCCACTTCCAGAGAGCCACAGGGGAATTCGTTCCATTATAGCCTGGTATCAGGCAACAGTGCATGATACATGGCAATGTCTCAGAAAGGCATCTGCCTTGCTTCATTGTGACTCTCAGCTGGCCATCCAGCTCTAGAGGAAAACAGGCAAATGAGTGAGGTCCCGAGTTTCTATTATTACCAAATTCAGGCAACCAAAGCAGAGGGCTGGGGAGGGTTTCCAGTCCATGGACACAATGGGATTCCTTGTTATAGGCAGATAAATTGTCAACAGGGAAGCCACTCTGATAATGAAAATACAATTCTCTGCTTTTTCCCAGGGCCTGTAAAATGTAGCACGTGTGAGGTGCAATTCAGGGCTAGGAGCGAGAGTTTAGAAATCATGACAAGCTGAATTCAGATTTTGGTTTTATCACCATCTGTAGCAACAGCCAGCAAATTTTTTCCTGAAAGTGTTAGCAAGTAAATATTTTGGTTTTTGTGGGTCATGTGGTCTCAGTCACAACTACTCAACTTTGCTGTTTTAGTCAAAAGGAGCCATAGATAATATATAAATGACCAGGCATGACTGTGTTCAATAAAACCTTATGTACAAAGAGAGGCAGTGGAAAAGATTTGGGATAGTACGTTAGTTTACTCACCCCTGATCTATAGGATCTTGCACTAATAAACTAATTCTCTAAGTTTCTCCCTAGGACTAAAAGAGATATATATATATCTATCTATATATATATATAAATATATATAGTTAAATACTTCTCATGTAGTTGGCATATAGTAAGCACTTGAAAATAGTAATCATTATTATATTAAAAATATTGTATACCATTGATTGTAAGGTAATACAGATTCCAGACATGTTAAAATGTACTTGAAAGTCTTAAAAGTGATAAAATTTGGTAACAGTAATTATAGTAACAATGTTCTATATAAGATTTGAAGTTTTGTTTTACCAGTGGTGGTTTAAAGCTTCTGGTGTAACATTTCCTTGTGATGTTTTTTCTTGTCAGGGACACATGTCACGAACTCCTGGGACATGTTCCACTACTTGCGGATCCTAAATTTGCTCAATTTTCACAAGAAATAGGCCTGGCCTCTCTGGGAGCATCAGATGAAGATGTTCAGAAACTAGCCACAGTGAGTTTGTTATCAGCTTAAAAAACTCTTTCTACTTATGTCCATTTATTTGTAAGGTAAAGAAAGCTTTAGAGCTATTGACTGAATTACAAAGCAACTGTTCTCAAGAGGAAGTAGTGATTTTCCCTTTCCCCATGTTGTGCTCTTCCGAAGCAGTGTGTTGTTATTTTGTTAACCTCTCCTCCCCCATTTGTATTTTGTCCTTCTTATTCAAGGGTGGACGAGATAGAAAATATTTTAGGCTTGCAGGTCATTGGTGTCTGTGATAACTATTCAGCTCAGCTGCTGTGTTGCAAAAGCAGCCATGAACAAAATATAAAGGAATGAATTTGGTTGTCTTTCTTTTTTTTTTTTTTTTGAGTATTTATATTCTTTTAAAATTTTTTTTTAAAATAATAAATTTTATTTTTATATTCCCCATACAATTGCAACCCCCCCATTCTGATCCCAATCCCTCCCCTCCCGCCCCCACCCCCCCCCAAAAGTGTCTCTGTTTCATAGTTTTTTGTTGATTCTGATTTTCACTTTCTTATAGTTATTCATTTTCTTGGTCCCTTATTTAAGTTTTCTAGATTCCTGCTATGAGTGAGACCATCCGGTATTTTTTTTTTTTTTTTTTTCTTTTTGGCTTATTTCGCTGAGCATGATCCCTTCCAGCGCCATCCATGTTGCTGCAAATTGCATGTGTTTATCTTTTTTGAATGCTGAGTAATATTCCATGGTGTATATGTACCACATCTTCTTGATCCAATCATCTATTTTTGGGCATTTGGGCTGTTTCCAAAGCTTAGCTATTGTAAATAGTTCTGCTATAAACATAGGGGTGCAGGTGCTCTTTGGAATTGATGTTTCTGTGTCCTTTGGGTAAATACTTAGGAGTGGAATTGCTGGATCATATGGAAGCTCTATGTTTAGTAGGTACAGAAATCTCCACACAGCTCTCCATAGTGGTTGGACCAGTTTGCACTCCCACCAGCAGTGCAGGAGAGTTCCTTTTTCTCCACACCCTCGCCAACATTTGTTGTTGCTAGTTTTTTTAATATGTGCCATTCTCACTGGTGTAAGATGGTAAGTTTTGATTTGCATTTCCCTGATTACAATGATGTTGAACATTTTTTCATATGCCTGTTGGCCATTTGCATTTCTTCTTCAGAGAAGTTTCTTTTTAGCTCTTCTGCCCATTTTTTGACTGGATTATTTTCTTTGTTGTTGAGTCTCATCAGCTCTTTGCAGATTTTTGTTATCAGTCCTTTATCATTAGTGTTGGGTGCAAAAATGTTCTCCCAGTTGGTGGGGTTTCTCTTTGTTTTTGTTATTGTCTCTTTTCCTGTGCAGAAGCTCTTTAATTTGATGTAGTCCCAGCTGTTTATCTTTGCCTTCACTATCACTGCTTTAGGTGATGTGTCTGTAAAGATGTCTTTATTTACAAAAGCTGGTGGTGGGCCAGATCTGGCCCTTGTGCTGTATTTTGCTGACTCTCATTTTAATTCAATGTTAATTTCCTAGAAATTTTAGTAATATTGTAAAAAGTATGCTTTTATGGTAAAGCAGAGCGTTAGTCAATATGACTGTGGTCAGACACAATTTGAATCAGCAATGAGAAGTTCAGGCTAAACAATTATTGTAAGTGAAAGACCAGGAAAAAAAACCTACTAGATGCTGTGATCTCAGTAAGGTTCTTCTCAAAACAAGCAATATGAAAGGAAATATATAATGTTGGGTAGCTCCAGTTCAAGATGCTGAGGAGTTAGGTCTAGCAAGCTCATGTGCCTTTCAATAAACCCAACATAAAGAGGTTAAGAAAGAGCAGGTATAGCAAATTTACTTATCTACAGGGACCAGTCTATCATCCTAAATGAGCAAAGTTACTGGAGAAAAAAAATAATGGGGTCTTTACTTGTATATATTTGACACAGATGCACATTGATAGCATATTACACATGTAGGAATATTCTTCATGTCTACCAAGAAAAAAGTTTTCTCTTAGATTCCTTAAAAAACATGGCTCTTTCAGAATATCTTTTGTTTTCTGCTTTTGATAAATCTATGGGAACTGAGAAATATTTCTCTATTAAAAGAGTAACAGCAATACAAATGCCATGCTGTTGGTGTCACTGTGGTGATGGATAGGGGTTAGTGGGGACTGTGGTAATTTGGAAGGGCATGCTTTTCAGCAGCGGAATGTTGGTCCTCAATTCCCACTCATGGTTGCCTGATGGGATTCAGGGTTTGGTGTTGCCATATCTCCAAATTCTTGAGAGAGATGGGCAATCTAGATTTCTAAATTAAGTTAATGACTTTTTCAATTTGGCTCATATAAAAAGCTACCATTATGAGTGAGAAAATATTTTTGTAGATTGAATCTGGATCTTGATTTCCGATTTGTAAACTCTGCCCTAGGGATTTTATCTCCTGCATATTTATTTGCTGTCTATTACTGCGTAAAAAATCCCCCAAACTGAGGAAATTATGTGTGGATGAGAGAGAGAGAGAGAGAGAGAGAGAGAGAGAGAGAGAGAGAGAGAAAGAAAGAGAGAGAGAATGTAGGAGGAGTTGTGATGCCTTTCATTATTTGATCACATACTGTTCATTAGAAGGGACTCACTTCAGCTCACACTCGAGAGGAGAGAAATTAGGCTTCATTTTTGGAGAAAGGAGAGTCAGAAAACATATTTTGAAACCATCACACTATGAGTTCTGTTATTTAATTCTCAAACTTTGGCTCTGGCTTTAAACTCCATATTTTGGAACCTTTTTTGGGCCTTTAAAACTTCTCTTAAAATTTTCTGGTTTAGCTTTTGACCCCCTACAACTTGTACTTTTGATCAGCTATGAATGCATTGCTTTCTTCTCTCTGAACAGTCACAGACTGGGATACAACTTTGCCAGACTCTCTCTCTCTCTCTGTGTGTGTCCAAAGAAAGAATAAGGTGTACTTTATGAATGTGAATGTAGGTGGATCTTAGCAAGTAATCTTTTTTTTTTTTTTAAAGATTTATTTATTTATACAAGCACTGGGTACAGTCAGAAGCGCGGGAGGGTGAGAGAATTCACCAGAGCCAGAACAGGCAGACTGACGAAACACACTGCTGAGAGGAACAGCGGGCATAGCAGGAGAGGTCTGTGCACCATGTGGGACCCTCGCCGGTGGCTGGGATTGAACTGGTGCTGCAGAGGCTGCAGGCAGCTTTGCAGCCCAGCGCTCAACCGTTGCGCCACCAGGGGAGGCCCTTAGCAAGTAATCTTACTCCTTTCTTAAAAACAGTGACAAGAAAACAGTTTTACTGTCCCTTACCTTTATACTCCATCAAATCATGATCAATTAATTCCATCATCCAAACTAATATTTGTAAAGAACATGACATGATCCTTCTCATAAATTTATAGCTTTTATAGATAAAACTTACATTTTTCAGAGGCGAGAAAGTGCTAATTCTTGAAAGATGAGAAAAAGTCAGTCAAGCTGCAAAGCGGGAAAAGAGGGACGATTTCAGTCGTAATAAGAAATCTTCCTGGAACTGAGTTTCAGGAGGAAGTACCTGCTCACCAGTTGTGAGGGACATATTGATGGCAAAGGCCACCTTTGGTATTGGTTTTCTATTGCTGCCATACAAATTACATGTGGCTTAAAACAGCATAAATTTATTGTGGTTTCATAAGGTTCGAAGTGCAGTAGTACTCAGTGGGCTAACATCATGTATTGGGGGCCTCCCTGGTGGCATAGCAGTTGAGCGCTGGATTGTGAAGCTGCCTGCAGCCTCTGCAGCGCTGGTTTGATCCCCGGCTGCTCCCCGGCCACCAGAGGAGGGTCCCACATGGCGCGCAGACCTCTCCTGTCTCCCGCTGCTCCCCTCAGCAGTGTACTTCGGTCCTTCTGCCTGCTCTGCTCCCCGCTCTGGCTCTGGTGAGTTCTCTCACCCTCCCGTGCTTCTGACTGTGCCCAGTGCTTGTATAGATAAATAGATGAATCTTAAAAAAAAATAAAACAACAAAAAACAAAAAACAGGGCCTCCCCGGTGGCGCAGCAGTTGAGCACTGGGTTGCGAAGATGCCCGCGGCCTCTGCGGCGCCGGTTCGATCCCCGGCTGCTCCCCGGCCACCAGAGGAGGGTCCCACATGGCGCGCAGACCTCTCCTGCCGCCCGCTGCTCCCCTCAGCAGTGTACTTCGGTCCTTCTGCCTGCTCTGCTCCCCACTCTGGCTCTGGTGAATTCTCTCACCCTCCCGCGCTTCTGACTGTACCCAGTGCATGTATAAACAAAAAAAAACAAACAAACAAACAAATAAAAAAAAAAAACAACACATGCCTCTATAAAAAAAAAAAAACAAAAAAAAACAAAAAACAAAAACAAAAAACATCATGTATTGGTAGGCCATGCTCCTTTCTGGAGGCTCTAGAGGAAACCTATATCTTTGCTTTTTGCAGCTTCTGGAGGCTGCACGCAGGTCATGGCTCCTGGCACCTTCATCTTTGCCTTTCTCTGATCTTTCTTCCATTGTCCCATCTCTTTAACTGACTGTGTAACCGGGGAAGCTCTCTTGCTTTTAAGGACACTTGGCATTAGATTGAACCCCTCTGGAAATTTCACATCCGTCTCCCCATCTCAAGGTGCAGACCCTTACTTAAATCTCTTTGCAAAGGTAACATCGACACAAGTTGTGGAGATTAGGTGTGGGCATTTTTGTGTGTGGGATATCATTACTCTTTGTTTCTGTTTTTATACTTGCAAGCAAAAAAACTAATACTGGAACTTTGAAACCTATTTTACTAATGCCAGTGAATTTGTAGGATGAATAAGTTTTCTTTAGGAACTTGCATTCCCTAGCATGATTGTAATACCCTTGGCCATTGATTGTCCTAGCTCCGACCACCAAAACCATTTCCTGCTGTTACAGATCATTAGGACATTAATCATGTTTCTCTTGGTCTCCTTCCCTCTTTATTTTTCATTGTCCTTTCCCTGGAATCTACCTGCTTTTTGGTAAAAGCCAATTCAAGTT